GCTGTACGGGAGCAGAATCTGTTCCTTTGCCCTTTCCTTTTTATACAGGTCACCCACATTCCTTGGCTGTGGCCCCTTCCTCCATCCTCAAAGCCAGCCAGGGCGGGTGGTGTGCCTCTCACACCTCATCACTCTGCCCCCCTCTCCTGCCTCTTCCACTTTTAAGGACCTTGTGATTACACTGGGCCCACCTGGATAATCCAAGGCACTCTATCTAAACGTCAGCTGATAAGCAACCTTAATTCCCCTGGCCATGTAGCGTAACATATTCACAGGTGCTGGGGCTATGGTCGGGGACATCTTTGTGGGGCCACTGTTTTCCTTACCCCAGGCTTGGAAGGGAGGACAAGGGGAGAAGTCATTCCCATCTGTGCTCCCTCTAGCCTGCATATCCCAGCAGGGGTGATGCCTAAGAAATAGCTGGGTTGGGGACCTACCACATGGTAAGGGCCCCTACCAATTGCATCTGCTGGCTGGGGTGCTCTGGCCTGGATTCAACTCCTTCCTCCAGGTCGGGCCTGAATCTGTGAATGCACTCCTTGGTGCCAGGAGGCCATGTTGTTCCACACAAATCACAAAGCCAAGCAGTGCCCTGGGCTCGTGGAGATCTTGTGACACTCTCACCGAGGAAGGAGGGCCTGGCTTGGCAGGCTGGTCAAATACCAGGTTGCATAGTTACACCCTCACACTGTGGGACTCCCTGTTCAAGCTGAAGCTGGGACAGCTCTGAGCACCAAGGCCTGGGTCCCAAATGCAGACAGTCCAGTTTATACAATGACTGAAGCCCAACTGAAATGCCATCTCAATACCTAAAATGTGCAGAATTTGCAGGGCAATGAAAATCTTGTAACAAGGGAAAAACAAAACAAAACAAAACAAAGTAGTTTCTCCTTCCTGTTTGGTGATGTCAGAGGGCAATTTTCATTTTGTTCAAGTCTCAGGCTGACGTTTTAACATGCGGCATTAGTTTTTCTATTTTTATTACTACCTAAATTAATAAAAGCAACTGGTGTTCAATAAGGGTTTTAATGGTTGAGAAGAAAGTTACCAAGTAATGCAAAGTCCTCCTCAGCATCTATGTGCACAGAAGCCTGGCTTCTGTCCTCCACGTGCTCTCAATGACATGTACATGACCATCGGGGGAGCACTTAACTGTCTTAATCCACTGCTCGCTAAAGCATGATGCCGCAAAGGGCCACAGTGGTGCTTTGGGGGGACAAAGAAAGGGATGGGTTCCGAGGAGACAGCAGTGCGTGCAACCAGCCGGTGATCCACAAACCATGCGACTGTGGGCCCAGCCCCTGGGCCCTCCTTGTTGTTTTTTCCTTCCTTCTCCCAGGCTGCCAGCCCACAGGCCTCCATGCCAAAGCTCTCTTTAGTTATCTGTTATCTGGGGCCAACAGCTTGTAATAAGCCACCTCCGTTTGTCCCTTTGGACCCTTCCTTCTCAGACAGCTGGCTCTAGTGTGCTGCAAGTTCCTCCTGATGACTATTAGGTAAAAACTAGAGCCCACGGGTGGCAACCCTAAAGAGTGACAGGAGATCAAGGACAGACTTGGCATCTTGAATTTACGATCGTCATTTATTATTTCTCAGAAGCTGGCTGGTGACATAACGAGACTCACTAACAGATATGGTCTCTGTTTCCCAGACTCTGAAGGTACACATGCCTATCAGTTACTTTTAATAACCCTGAAGATACCCCAGCTATATCCAGTCACCAACAGCCACGGCCTGCCTGGTGGGTCGGCGTCCTTTAGGGCCTTCCCCCGGAGAGCTGTCCTTTGCAGCTGCACTGCCAAGGTCAATGATGTTCCTGTTTGCACTGTGAGGTGATCCACCCTTCTTGTGCTTGCCTTCCCTGTGCTGAGGGCTCATCACAAATCATCTCTCAGTACTTTTCCTATTTCCTTTGTAGAACTCACGTAGTCTACTGCTTGTGTGTGAATCCTTAAGGACTGGGCTGTCTTTTTATAACAAAACTTCACGGCAATACCTTAGCTTTTTCTTTCAGGTTAAAAGGGAAGAATTCTGGAAAGGTGCTGGGTTCTCTGCATATTTTTTTTCACTTGTCTAAATTATTTAAACAACATATTTCCAATTCAAGGATAAGAACAGGATTACCTGGCCTGCAGCCATTTGCATACTACTTCTTATTTTTTAATATATCTGCACACCGTCTGTGATATTCTTCCTAGATATTTCACGTTAAATCATCCCAAGCTTATATTACCCTTACCCTAAAGCAATATTTGTAAAGCCATGGGTTTGAGATGCTAGCTGTAAAGTTTTTATTATTGTTTTAATTACAATTAAAATGTAATTGTTAAAAAGAAGTATTTCCCTGTCTACCATCTAAAATTATTTCCTGTACTATTAATGTTAGCCTCTCACTTTGGGACACACTCATCTAGAATATAGTTTTGGGAAGAGATTTACATGAGGAACTTGAAAGAAACAAATCCACTGCTATTTCAACTTAGCCAAAGATAAAGAATTCTTATGGTCTGTTTACACTAACTTTGGAGAGTAAAGAAATTTAACATATTCAAGAATAATGCAGAATATCTCACTGCCTACAGGTCAAAACTTTTATATAAAATAGAAAATTTGTAAGCATTATTAAATTCTTTTTTTAAAGCCACCTGAATTCTTTCTTCACAAGTTGGTCAGGGGACTCCCCTGGTGGCTCAGTGGTTAAGAATCCGCCTGCCAATGCGGGGGACACGAGTTCGAGTCCTGGTCTGGGAAGATCCCACATGCCACGGAGCAACTAAGCCCGCACGCCACAACTACTGAGCCTGCGCTCTAGAGTCTGCGAGCCACAACTACTGAGCCCTCTGTGCCACAGCTACTGAAGCCCACGCGCCTAGAGCCTGTGCTCTGCAACAAGAGAAGCCACCGCAATGAGAAGCCCGTGCACCGCAAGGAAGAGTAGCCCCTGCTGGACACAACTAGAGAAAGCCCGTGTGCAGCAACGAAGACCCAATGCAGCCGAAAATAAATAAATAAGTAAATTCATTAAAAAAAAAAAAAAAGTTGGTCAGTTATCCATTCAGTCTTAAATGATCACATCTGAGCAATTCCAGCTTGGAGAGAACCGGGAGACCCTGTTGTCTACTTGGTCCCACCATAGGGGCTGAGCTGGAACAACAGAACAAATGCCACCCATCTCTCCAGTCCCCACCCAAATCCTCCACCTCCAAAAGCGGGAACAAGCTCAGCTGTGATCTATGATCATTCCATTAACCTTGCAATGAAGCATTAAATTAGATTCCCTACTGCAGACTCTGCTTTCGCTACAAGGGGAAAAAGGCCTTCACTTTATGCTAATAGATTTACTAAGCAACTCCGTGTTTACAAGAGAATGCAAATAAGCAAAATCATTTAGCAAATTGTGAAATCTCCAGTGGGGGTGTTAAAACAACTGCTTTTTCTTTTGCTCGTATTTCCTCTAAAGGTTTTAGTTATAGAGAGTTCTAGCCTTAGAAAGAGCAGTTCTCAAACGGTTCATCTTTCTATAGAATTTTCAAACCAATACTTTAAATAAAATTACAGGAAAAAAGATGACTTGAGCTGGACAAGTCTTTTGTCCTCTCTGGTATCAATCACCACCTTGGATGCTGGGGAGACTCAGAGAAGGACATAGTCGAGTTGGTGGCAGAGCCTGGGCCTTGGGCAGATGCCAACTTCCCGACAATGAATTCAGCACTCTCCATACCAGCCCAAGCTTCCAAGTCTTCCCCCAGAGAAGGTGAGGATTCCTCTTCAGCAAATTCCATTTCTGGGGGGTAACTTCAAAATAATGCTGCCCTATTTCTCTGAAGCCAGAGAACTACAGAAGTCATATCACTCGCTGTAAAAAAAAAAGTATGTCCTGCTAAGGGAATAGTAAGAAGCTGGGCTTGCGATACAAATACTTGGCACAGTGATTTCAAACCACTCATATCAAAATTCCATGTTATGGGGACTTCCCTGGTGGCGTGGTGGTTAAGAAGCTGCCTGCCAGTGCAGAGGACACAGGTTCGAGCCCTGGCCCGGGAGGATCCCACATGCTGCGGGGCAACTAAGCCTCTGCGCCACAACTGCTGAGCAGCCTCCTCTCGCCACAACTAGAGAAAGCCTGCACACAGCAATGAAGACCCAATGCAGCCAAAAATAAATAAATAAAAATAAATTTAAAATTCCATGTTATGTCTCATCAACCCAGATGTGGAAAGAGGTCAAGTATGCCAGAAAAATCCTTCAACAGTCAGATCATTAAAGGGTATTGAAATCAAGAAATATAGCACATCAGAGCTGGAAGGGATCTTGGAAATCATACAGTCTAATCCCCTTCTTTAATAAATTGCTCATGGTCATAGAATTGGTTTGTGTCAGAGTAAAGACTAGAAACTCGGAGGCCAAACATTCTTCTTTATTATACTGTGTTCTGAAGCTCTTTTTGTCTCTGAAGCAATGAAGGCCGGTCAAGTCCTATCATGTCAACTACTCAGCATGCAGTGTATAAAGCTACATGGTTAAGCCTTGCCTCCTATCACCAGGCAACCGGAGAATTATCAGGAAGCCTGCTCAGCCATGGCCAGGAGAGCTCTCTTCTACACACAGACCTTCTGTGCATCACCAGGGACTCTGTTCCTTCCGAGGTGCAATACCTAGAAAGCTGGCTAACAGAGGAAGCAAAGCAGATCCCCAGGGCCTGCTGAACTGATGAAGATGCAGTAGCAACAGTCAAAACAACAACAAAAACTGCCCAGCCTGAGCTCGCTGGGTTCGTGCTGTCAGAAGCACCATCCCACCCAGAAGCAGGATGCAAGAGCTGGTCAGCGGTCCTCTCCCTCCTGCTGTGCCAGCTCCTAACCAGAGGCCCAGCTTCAAGGCCTCCCAACCTCTGGTGGGTTAAAGTAGCACCCATCCGCTCTCACTGTTACTGCCCTCATTTCTCAGGCCCCTCTGGAGTGACCTCCACACCTGAGCAACCCCAAGTGGAGCAGGCTTACCTGTCAGCATCTCCGAGGCCCAGGGAGGTGTTTCTTTGCAGGGTCTCCCGCACCACAGCCATCCCATCAGGGAGCCGGTTCAGGCGGCGGGTGTAGAGGCCAAGTCCACCATCGGTCATGTACCTTTGAAAGAAGAAGAGGATGACGCAAAGGTATGGTTAAGGGCAGGTCCTGTGCCATCCTGCGGTTCATATCCAGAAGTCCTGCATGGCCATCCTGTGTTCTAAGGGGGAAGGAACTGAGGCTTTCCCAAGGCTCTGTCACTGATCACAGCCCAGGGATAACTCAGCTGACTCAACCCAAAGGATCACCAGCTTGCTAGTAAAAATAAGTCGGCTTAATTAACCCAAACTCACAGGAACCTATGAAGCAGAAGGGAACTAGTAAATAAAATTAACTGTCAGATGCATTCATGACATTCTTTTTAATGTCAGCAATTATACAAGCAGGTGTTTTAGCTAAGTACTGTGAACGGAACTGACAAGTCATCGGCAAGTCATAGGGAAAAATGTTACAGAACAGTGCAGTGGAAAAAAGTAGGCAAGCTTTTAAGATGAAAAGAAAGAAAAGATGGAGGATACAAGAGCCAGCTTTGCTGTTGTGGGCAAGTCATTTCTCTGAGGCCTGTGTTTTTCATCTAAACTGTGTGAATGTCACAGCCTTCCTGCATCACAAGGTGGACATGAGAATTAGTGAGATAAGGAATATCACAGTGCTCTATAATTTGTATAAGATCGTAGAAACAGAAGATGTTATTAGGACAGTCATCATCTTGAAGTAGCTACAAGGGTAAATTTCACCTCTGACACTGATGTCTTAAGGGGGGTGTCCCAAACTCTCTGAATAACAGTAATGCTCCTTTACTTTTCTAGATCTCTAGGTGATGCCACAAAGCTATCTTCTGATGAAATCAGTCAGGGGGAAGGGGAGACCCCTGAAACTTTCTGTATAGATGGCTGACTATCTATCAATCAGACCAGTTCCTGAAAGATTAGCTACCAGTAGGAGGTAGTTCAGGTCCAAAGCGGCTTTACTTCATGGACCTTCGCTCCTCCACAACACCCCACAAAGGAGACTGCTTGCGCCATCACCCCCATCTCCAGAGGAGAACAAGAATTCAAAGCAAAATTCGAGCAGAGCCAGAATCCAAACTCGGATCCCTTAAATTCCCACATGGGCCCCATCAGATTGACCTGCAATGCATCTGAAAGTGCAAGAGATTTGCATTTCAAGTCAAATAATAGGAAGTAAGAAGACCAATGAACGAGTGGTTGTTTTGCTGCAACAGTCAGCTGAGCTCATTATGGAACGTTTCACTGCCTTTGGTATCTTGGCTTTAGAATATATGGCGTAGATCCTGAGGGTTCTCAATCCTTGAGATTCTTCCACCTCTAGTTTAGGAACTTCTTAGGATATATTCTTAGAAAAATGGACTTACAGGATGCTGTGGAGGTTTCCCAGAACCAGTAGGGTCAACTTAGGGTCAAAGAAGAAAGTTTTCACAGAAGCCATCTTGGGTGAGAAGGAGCTTCTGTTTTGGGTCAAAAGAACTCTCCCTTAGGGCAGCTTCCAGGATACCATGTCTGAACTGACTTCTCTGATGGCCCCATTCACCCCCCGTTTATGACATTAATGATCACAATGCCAGCATAATGGAAAATCTGCTGAAGTCAGTCAAACCGATTGTTTGTGCACCAGCAAAACAACACAGCAGACTGGCTTTTTTCACTCAACTGTACGATAAAAACCACCCTGTGAATATACTAAACCCCAACGAATTGTACTCTTTAAAATGGTGAATTTTATGGTATCTGACTTATTCCTCAAGAAAAAGGAATAAAGAAAACCCAAAATCCCCAGCGATTGCAGCTGCAGTTAAATAATTATTTGTGTAATGACTTTTGGATGCTTGGTTCCCACGTTGGATAGTGAACTCCTTGATTGCAGGGACTATTTCATTTTGTTCAAATCTATATCCCATGTGCCTAACACATAGTAAGTGCTTAATAAATATTGCTTTTGTTGAATGAAGCCCAAAGATACAGCCATAGGGTGAAGTTTAGCAAAAAACATTTTGGGAGGAAACCGATTACAGGTTCTTCTTCCTCTTAAATGTCAGGAAATTTGACATCTAAGACATATGGCAATTAAACTGTCTACCTGTCAGTCAACCCATCTGCCCATCCATCCACCCATCCACCCACCCACCCAGTCACCCAACAGGTGTAGTGACCCTGGGTCCAGTGGTGGACTTCATGTGTGCATCCTACAATTAACATAAGGAGAAAAAAAAACACCTACAGAAAAATGCAGTAACTCTGCCAGAGGCTAGACTTTCTAGAGTAAATGTCCTTTCAAGGAGATTTCAGTGGAAGCTCTTCAAAACACAGTCTGCTGCACCATTAAACAAGGCAGTTAATTTCGATTTTAGCAAAGTCTGCTCAGCCATATAGATAAACAAAAATTTTTCAACTGGGGAGATCTTGTCAAAGGACAAACTAATTTTAGCATTCATTTCCCTGCTGGATTTTTATTGCTGGTGAAACAACACACACGGTTGGGCAATTACACTTACCCGGGCATGTAGACGGAGGCCCACACATACACAGCCCTGGCTTTCTGTGAAGGCCAAGAGCTGGTGAGCATTCCAGAGACTGAAAGCTGAGATGTGCTGCAGCCCCCAGCCCACTAACACCGGGTGCAAGATGGTGGTGTCAAAAACTGACCACCGATGAAGGTGGGGGGGGGCCTTGGAGAGATGGGACTGGATGTGCTAACTTAGCTTGTCAACTGCTGCTGGGAATTCTGATTTTGTTTAGGCAGAGAGGAGGGGAAAGACAAGGATAAATCAGGATCCTCTGCCTTCTCAAATGCACCAAAGACTGAAAGCCAGAATTGAATGTAACCAATGTGACAACGATCCAGTTTCTTTACAAATCTATTTCATTCGTTGTGTGTGTGTGTGTGTGTGAGAGAGAGAGAGAGAAAGAGAGACAGAGAGAGAGAGAGAGAGAGAGAGAGAGAGAGTGAGAGAGAGAGAGAGAGAGAGACAGAGAGAGACAGAGAGAGAGACAGAGAGAGAGACAGAGGGAGACAGAGGGAGAGAGAGAGAAAGGAAGAGAGGGAAGGAGGGAGGGAGGAGTCAGAAGTGGTTACGGAGAAGAGGGAATTTACCTCTTCTCCCAGAGATTTGTAAAAACGTATTCAATCATATTTTTTTTAACATTCAAACTAAATTCTATGTCCTCTCACTGCAAGACAGCACAGCACTGGAGATAGCTGTCACTTGAACCAGCCTCACACTCAAGAACTTAAAGTATTTATTTCTAAAATTATTATCCACCAAATACAGTAGTCTGATTTATAAAAAGCTCTGTATATATTTTTAATAACTCTTCTGGTCTCAATGAAAAATATACATTTTTTGGTTCAACTCAAATTTCTACAGGAATTGGCTACTGAATGCATTAATATGGACTGCTGTCAGTTCATCCCTTTAGGAAGCATAATTTTAGAGATGAAGCCGTCACTGGTGTGCTGATCTAAAAGACCAGCCCTCGCCCTGGAAGGTGTAAAGGTTTATGTTCCTGACGGCTCAGGAGGCTGGGAGGGATGGCTGCATCCCATCTCTGGGATGCAGCTTTATCAGAGGCTCCCACTGCGCGGAGATGCAGTGACTTGCCTGAGGTCAGAAGGAAAGGAACCAGCTGATCTAGGTTGGTTCCGAATCCCTGAGCACCAGGGCCACACTTTCCTTCTCCATGGAGAAATAAATAATTAGTGCTGGAGCCTAATGAGGTGCTGGTAATATCCTAATGCTGGCTTGCTGGGGTCCTAAGCCACCAGGCAACTGAACAATTTTCCACACTGTCCTCCCGAGTTCCGCAGTGATGGGTGGAGGTTCCGCTGCTTCCCCAGAGGCTCCTGGATGGAGAGCGGGAGCCTCTGCTAAAGAGACAGGGTGTCTGTGGGGGGTGTTTTTCTTGCTTTTCAAGGCTGGGGCACCCTGGGGTGGCCCACGAGCATCAGAGTTAGGAGCATGGCTCTAACTTGTCAGTGAGTCCTGGGTTCAAAGTCTCCCCTGCCCCTTGCTAGCTGAGGGCCCTTGTGTGCATCATTGTTAGCAAGTACTAACGGTTACTGATGCTTGCTGGGTGCTGTGCTAAGTGCCTCACATAAGTCATGACATCTTCAAAAGAGTCTTATCAAGTGTTATTTTTATCTCTATTTTTTAGATGAAGACAAGGAAACTGAGGTCAAGATCAAGTGCAGATAGGTGGGTTCTAATCCCAGCTTTGTCACTTTTGGAGGGTAATTTCTCCAAGTTTCAGTTTCCTCACCTGCAAGATGAGTGAAACTACAGATTAACCTCACAGGCCCGCGGTGGGGAGACTGAGACAGTGCGTATAGTGCCCGAGCCTGCTGGATCAGGAGCCCTTAAAGCTGATTAGCTGCTGTTACTCGCAGCAGCAGCAATGGCTCGTATCTCTGAGTAGTGACTCTGCAGTCCCTCCTCCCCTTTCAATTCCACAAATATTACGTGCTCTGTGCCAGGCTGGGGTTACAGAGACAGAAAGGTCTCATTCCTGTCCTGCTTAGTGAAGCTCAAGGTCAACAAGGGTCTCAGATATGTAAATAGGTAACTCTCCTACTGCCGGACGAGCCGTGTTCCAGACGGATGTATGACAGGCTCCGTGCATAAAGGGGAAGGAGTCACAGTTGGCCTTTGAAGGGTGCATAGGAGTTTGCCAGCCAAAGGAGGAGGATCCATCCAGGCGCATAGATAACATGTACAAAAGCAAAGAGGAGGGTAAGAGGATGGGAAGTAGTTCACTGTTGCCAGAGCAGCAGGAACAAAGACAGGAGCTGGGCTGCAAGGGGACTGGGGCACAGTCAGGAAGGGCTGGGAGGCCAGGCAGGGCTGAGACCTTTGCCTGGAAGCCAGGGAAGCTATGAAGGTAGTAAGCTAGTGAGTAACAGGTTTTTGATTCCTCCACCATTCAACACTCCATTTTTGGCAAGCACTGTCTCACTGATATCTCCTGTAGATTTTTCAGAACACGCCACTTGTCTGGATCCTGTCTGAGTCACCCCAGACCTTCGGGAAATGACCAGACTTGCAG